AGGCGCGGTCCTGCCCCGGCGCCCGCGTTCAGCGGATCAGGTGGGTCCCGCGGGGCGCCGGCCGAGCCCCCCAAGGCCGCGAGGGCTCGGCGCGGGGGCGGGGATGGCGGGGACGGCGGGGCGGGCCCCTGCTCCGGCCGGCCCTGTTTCTGCCCCGCCTGTGTCACTGCTTTTGTTCTTGTCGCTACCTCTGTGTCCAGATCTGACCTAGTCTCCGTCCCCCTCCCGCGCCCGTCGCTGCCTCTGTCCAGCCTTCCAGACTGGAGCTCGAGGGTCTGCGGGTCGAGGTCCCCCCGCGGGGTTCTTGGGAGAGGGGTAGGGAGGAGAGGGGGAGACGCAGGGGGCACGGGCTGCGACCCAGCACGTCTCGCAAAGAGTGAGCGGTCTGTCCCCGTCTGTGGGCAGGACGGAGGGATGGCTCGTGCCCAGGACAGGAGGGGAAGGGGTGCCGCTGGGAATGGAGGGCTGGCGGGGGAGGGGCAAAGTTGCGGCGCGGGAACCCCGGGGAGCAGGGCATCTGAAGACGTCGTAGAGCTGAGGACCGAGCCCGAACCCAGCGCGGGGAAAGTTTCAGACACTGTAACTTTGGCAGCCAACGTGCCTGCCGCCTTGGGGTGATGGAGGCAAAGGGTTCCTTCACCAGCTCTTCAAACCACCTCGCCCCGACTTGAGAGGGACGCCACCCACCTTTGAAAATGGTACGAAAACAGCGAAACAGAATGATTGCACAAACTCTTGAAAAGCGTCCAAGAAACAGTAAAGGGGAAAAAAATGTCAGCGCGCGGAGACAGAGAGCAGGCAGAGCGACTGAGTCCCCATGTCCCCGCGGTGGCAGGCGCGAGGGAGGGGCGAGGCGCGGAGGGTGTCACCGCCGTTCCTCCCTCCAGGAAGGAACCCAGGCCCAGGCCACCGTTTCTGTGGCTTTGCTTGTAGTTTGCACTCCTTCTGGCTCCGGAGCAGGCCTCGCTGCGTCCTTCATTCACCTGGGACTAGGTGTGTCCCTGGAGGCAGGCGATGCAGGGCGGAGCCCTGGCCTGGCCGCTTCCCAGCTTGGAGACACTTTCCCAGGCAGAGCCTCGGTTTCCTCCACGGCTGTCAGACAGGATGCTGCTGGAGACCGCGCTTCCAGGCTCCCAGTAAGAAAGTGCAAAGTGCCTTGCGCATGGTGAGGGGCTCTGGGGGGCTGGGGTGTAGAGGATACGGTTATTCTGTTGCACTGCCGTGCTTCTTTGGCGACACGAAGCACTTTCTGCTTTGTTCGGAGTTATTTCTAGGTGTACCTTCGGTCCCCTGCCAGATGCCCGGCAGGCTGCAGATCCAGGTTCTCTCTGTTACAAGTAACAGGTGCCCAATGAACTGAATAAGGCAGAGCTGAAAGAGTCCCTAGGGATTACCTGGTCCCTGCGATTTCAAACTGTGTCCTGGAAAGCCTAAGGTCAGGGAGGAGAACTGAGAGGACAGGGTCTGGCCCCTCCCTACCTTATTTCAGACAGAACCAGTTCAGTTCTGCCTTTATCTCCTCTACCTATTGGGAAACCCCAGACGGTGTTTTTGGTAACAAATTCCCCAGATCCAGTCTGATCTGGTCATTCTCAGCAGAGTAGCTGAGGTCAAGAGGTGTGCACAGGGATTTGGGCAAGGTCCTCCAGTGGCCAAACCTTACCAGGAAACCTGCCTCTTAAGTCACAGGCCAGAAGTGGCCTTTCTCTGGCCGTGGTGGCTCTGAGCAGCCATTTCCCCAGATATCAGCACCCGTTCACCTACACCCTGACTCCAGGGCCCCAGGGCTGCCTTCTGACCCGCAGCCTGTAAGCAATCTTCTGAGCACTTCCAGGCTTTTGGTGGGGCAATTTATGTGACTTTGTTGTACAGATTGAGGTCAAAATGAATTAGGTTCCCCACCCTCCAGTGTAGGCTACGTGTCACTAGCCTTTTATAGTTAAGGAAATGAAAGCTCAGAGAGGCCAAGTAACTCACTCATGGGCACTCAGCTGTTAAATGGCAGCTGGGATTTAAATGCTCTTCTTTCTGGCTCTAAGGCTTGTGCTCTTTCCATTACATTCTCTCTCACGAGGGCTAGAAAATAGGTAATGGACAGATGTCATGGAGGCGGGGCAGAGGTGAGGGGAGACTGGCTGAAGCAGGGCGGCATTAAGTGGAGGCTGAGCATTCGAATAGGTGCGTTCTTTATATTATGCACATACAATTTTATTTGAAATGAATGTGGTTTCTGCCCTGTACTTTCTATTTTAGATTTGTTTTACGGACATCTAAAAATTATTTTATTTTTCTAATTTTTAATTAAAGTACAATTTACATACAGTACAATCCACAAATCTTACGTGTCTGGTTCATTGAGGATTGACAGTTGTTTATACCTTTGTAACCACCCCCCACCAAATGAAACATACTATTTGCGTAACCCTACAAAGTATCC